TTTTCCAACTAGAAATATTATTTATACTCAGTCAAGTACCTTTGAAGTAGTTCCACACAAACATTTATACAATAAAGAGCTCTTAGAATTTCTGATCTTTAGACTGTATGACGGGGTTGTATTGAGTCAGAGGAGAACAAAACCACATCCATTCAAGATTTGAATGAACAGGATGACATGTTTTTGCCCTCTCTTGCCAGTTTTCCTAAACATGTCCAACAAACTATAACTCATCCCTTGGAATAGGCTACATGGCTAATTTGGCTATCCTTGATATGAATTTCAATACTGAAACAATCCAAAACAAAACAGTTCCACAGTCAAAGACATACAAGACTTGCCAAGAATAGAAACTAGAATTCTACAGAAATCCTCTGTGAGTATCACCATATAATTAGATAATTAGTCACTTGGGGCATTACGTAGTTAACACATAATGCCACCTCTGTACCTGGTGACCAAGTGGGGCAGTCATACAATAGCAGAGGAAGGAAACAGAGAGGCTGTAACAGACACTGTCGGCTGGCACTGGGTTGGGGGTAGGAAAGATGGACCAGACAGACCGGACGTCCTGCTAACAAGGTTGTGAACACAGATGTGTCCAGCGATCCAGCCTCAGCACATGGCCAATGTGCCAGTATTGAAGCAGTGGATAGCTGAGTATTTTTATTTATTTATTTAACCTTTATTTAACTAAGCAAGTCAGTTAAGAACACATTCTTATTTACAATGACGGCCTACACCGGCCAAACCCGGACGACGCTGTGCGCCGCCCTATGGGACTCCCAATCACGGCCGGTTGTGATACAGCCTGGAATCAAACCAGGGGGTCTGTAGTGACGCCTCAAGCACTGAGATGCAGTGCCTTAGACCGCTGCGCCACTCGGGAGCAGTGGTATGATTGATTACTGTGTTAGCGTTTGACGTTATCAACTACTGAAGGGTTCTCATACTCTATGGAATTCTCCTTCAATGAAACAATACTTTTAACCATACTGTAACAATAGAATAAACCCATAATAAAACACCAGTGAATGAAATTGAGGTAGGTGAGTTTATACTGAGCTGGTTGTCTGGCTGTTACAGAGGAATCATCACCCTCCAGTAGAGCAGAGCTCTTTTTACCAACTAGCTCTCACAGTCTCACGTCAGAATTAGAAGTTCATCCATGTTTCTCAAACTTCACAGTTTAGGCATTAACTCCTATTTTTTAAGGTAAGGGTTAAGGTTTGGGATAGGCTTAAAACAAAAATCTCAAAAACAACTTTCAAACATGGATTCAACTGGATTTTTGGCACAAGAAACAGATGCTTATGCCCATTTGCCATCCCTGTCCACAATACCCTTGCAAAACTGAAACCTACTTGAAGGCAACAGCGCTCATTGTTGCCCCTAGTGGCCGGTTTCCATGTCATCTCCCGACGTCCTCAGACATGGATGGATGTCGAATACTGACTTGTATCACGGGAGACCTGGCTGCTTTTTACAGGGGAGGATGACAGACTGAACACAGGTAAACAAGAGGCTCTTGTGATGTGATGTCCTCCTGGGGACCAGAAACAGGATTCCATTGAAAGACACACCTACCTGGAGAATCAGTCTTGCTTGGTCTCCGTCTGTGGACAGCCCAATAAACTTGAACGTAATGACCCCCCTCCCCTTTCTCTCTCTCTCTTTCAACCTCCCTCACCCTCCCCCTCTCCCACTCTCTCTCTGTCTCTCGGATACAGTCCTTACATTGCAGATCATCAAGTGTAATCTATCCTGCCTATTCACAGGTCCCCAAGGTGCACTGGGCCATGCTCAATTAGGTCAGTATGTCTGTCTCTCTTCATTACATGCATATAGCTGCATATGGTCTATGTGTAATTCAGGCACTGGAGGGAAGTTGACTCTGTTTAATTGGCTAGACTAAACTATACCCTACATTTATTAACAACAGATTCAGTTGTCTTTAACAAATAAAATCTACATAGGCCATGGAAAATGTCAAAGCACAGATTTGATGGAAAGGCATGCTTTATTAGGTACATTTAAGGATTTGCAAGCACCAGAGACTATCACTTTTCACATCACTTTTCAGGTATGGGGTAAGTTGAGCCGTGACCCAGGGTAAATGAAGCCGCCAGCAAATATCTGTGCTGAATTAAATATTACCCCCAACTTTTAAAAAATCATGTCTATATTTATTTCCCAAACTCAATTCAACACAATCACTTTATTGTCTTTTAATCATTTAAAACATATTTTAACACAGGCTTAACACCTAACAAATGCTTTATACTTAAAAAAAACATTTTTAACAGTTTGATGTTACCTCATATCCCAGCAATAATGCCTTGCATTATGCCTGGGAAGAAAACACTTCAATTTTCTCAATTTACCATTGTCTCATCCATTGGCTAACTTCCCCTAAGGCAAACATTTTGACTATATTAGCCCACACAGCTACAAGGATGCACTTTCATGCTAGGATTAGGACCTCATATTTAAGGTTATAAAGACCCCAACTGATGTATAGAACAATCTTAAAATTATCTACTTTGGTTTAGATAGAAGCGTCATAAAACCTCTAACACAATACATTCATTTGACTTTGTGAAAAACTTTTTTTTTTTTTTACCTAACTTGCTTACCACTTTTTCCATTTCGTTTCTTCCTTCACAGACTACATGAAATGGTGACCTCTTCCTAAGTACACTACATTACCAAAAGTATGTGGACACCTACTCGTCGAACATCTCATTCCAAAATCATGGGCATTAATATGGAGTTGGTCCCCCCTTTGCTGCTATAACAGCCTCCATTCTTCTGGGAAGGCTTTCCACTAGATGTTGGAACATTGCTGCAGGGACTTGCTTCTATTCAGCCACAAGAGCATTAGTGAGGTCGGGCACTGATGTTGGGCGATTAGGCCTGGCTCACAGTCGGCGTTTCAATTCATCCCAAGGCCTTCGATGGGGTTGAGGTCAGAGCTCTGTGCAGGTCAGTAAAGTTCTTCCACACCGATCTCGACAAAACATTTCTGTATGGACCTCGCTTTGTGCACGGGGGCATTGTCATGCTGAAACAGGAAAGGGCCCTCCCCAAACTGTTTCCACAAAGTTGGAAGTATAGAATTGTCTAGAATGTCATTGTATGCTGTAGCGTTAAGATTTCCCTTCACTGGAACTAAGGGGCCTAGCCCGAACCATGATAAACAGCCCTAGACCATTATTCCTCCGCAATATGCATTCGGGCAGGTAGCGTTCTCCTGGCATCTGCCAAACCCAGATTCGTCCATCAGTCTGTCAGATGGTGAAGCGTGATTCATCACTCCAGAGAACGCATTTCCACTGCTCCAGAGTCCAATGGCGGCGAGCTTTACACCACTCCAGCCGACACTTGGCACTGTGCATGGTGATTTTAGACTTGCGTGTGGCTGCTTGGCAATGGAAATCCATTTCATGAAGATCCTGACGAACAGTTATTGTGCTGACGGTGCTTCCAGAGGCTGTTTGGAACTCGGTAGTGAGTGTTGCAACAGAGGACAGACAATTTTTACGTACTACGCGCTTCAGCACTCGGCAGTCCAGTTTGTGAGCTTGTGTGGCCTACCACTTCACGGCTGAGCCATTGTTGCTCCTAGACGTTTCCACTTCACAATAACAGCACTTACGGTTTAGTGGGGCAGCTCTAGCAGGGCAGACATTTTACAAACTGACTTGTTGGAAAGGTGGCATCCTGTGACGGTGTCACGTTGAAAGTCACTGAGCTCTTCAGTAAGGCCATTCTACTGCCAATTTTTGTCTATGGAGATTGCATGGCTGTGTGCTCGATTTTATACACCTGTCAGCAACGGGTGTGGCTAAAATAGCCAAATCCACTAAGTTGAAGTGGTGTTCACATACTTTTGTATATATAGTGTATTTGGTCAAATTATTAATTTTGTGTTTGTTTCCTAGAAACAAAGGTTGCTCAACTTTCCCCATTTGGCTCAACTTACCCCACTCTCCCCTATGTATTTACAATAGTGAGTGACATTATAAATATCTGTTCCATTCTTAGAACCATTCTCAGTAGGACACAAAGCCATGGAGTTCTTTATTAATTTGTGCTGCTGGAATTTTGAATCAAGGTAAGATTAAATTATTTTCCACCATCCATTAGCATGGTACCATCTATTATTGCTAAATGATACTGACTGGCATTACAGTGTCTTGGATGTGTTTCATGAAATGCCTATATCCTAAAAATACCCTTGTTGGCAGCATTGAGTAATGTAGTGAGGTACAGCACGTGTGTAGTTGTAAGTTATCCTATGTGACAAATTTCATAAAGCTATCGGGCCAAGTCTAGTCTGAGATGTGGGTCATAGTGTATGCTATTTACAGACACAGGACGGGGATAAGACCAAAGGGGACATTTCAAGGCCTACTTTCCACTCAGACTATTTCTTTATGTTGAATGCCAATACTCTCGTAGGGCTTCCATTAGCCAAAGATCTATCTTTCTCCATCTCCAAGTAAAAGAAAACATGTTGTTTTTTATTTTTATTCCTGTAGGATGAGGGCCCACTTCAATTAACAAGGTGGTAAATTACTTCACTGTAAATATGATAATCATACATGAAAATAGTATATGATTTTCCACCATTTATGTCTCAACATGACAGGCTTATTTGGTGTTTTGTTTAATTGTTCTGAGCTTCAACTGTATGATAAATGTATACCGAATGTATACAGTAAGAAAGCAACAGCAACAACAGTGCACTAACTTTTTCCCCTGAAGGTCTCAGACCTAGCCATAAACTACAGGGACCACACAATTCAGTTACTTGGTAACAAGGAAAAACAAGAGAAAGCTAGCAGCACTCACAGTGCATGCAGGCCAGGCTGACAGAAAAATCATCAAACACAGGTCCTTAGCTGTATCCACTTAAAAACGACAGAGCAGTGCCTTTCCTGGTTTTTAATTACATGGCTCTTGGTGGCTCTTATGTATAATTCACAGCCAGGGAGATGGAAGGATCCTCAACAAACCTTGGGAGAGCGTTCCTGTGTCTTAGGTCTGGAGATTTCACCCTCTCCGGCTCTGCACTGATCTGGGTGGTGGACGAACTTTAATGGTGGTAAGAAAACGAAACAATTTTCTATAACCAAGTTCAGAATAAATGAAACTTGATTATTGCTAATAAGTCATACAGTAAAATCAAGTTGTGATGTTAAAGTGTTTTAAAAGGTTAGGTTGAATAGGGGGAATGTGAGAATAGGTAAAACTGTTGTACGATTGGTATTTTAAAGACAAGTTATATAGTAAAACAATGACTATTCACTCTTTTATTCTACTAAAGGTGGGATTGAGAGTGTTATGGTCAAGGTGCATGTTCATTCTCTGCTACAATGGCAAACAACAGTTGGCTGTGTCTTGTCCTTTGTTGTAATGTGATGAGCATATACAGTGAGACAAGTCTATTGTCATTTATGCAAGGGATTATGACACTTAACAATATCTATTACATCACGTTCCAGTTCTACTAGTAATTCCATTTTTCTACTGCCTACTTCATGGTGTAAAGGAGAAACTAACAGCAATGTTACAATCCTTGAAGTAGTAGAACCATGGAAAGATTAATAATATATTGATGGAACAGGTTAAACCTTAACCAAGGAAACAACCTTTAATCAAACTCATAACATGTTGAACACTAAACTCATAACATGTTGAACATTTAATTTATTTTTTAAAGCACGATGGCCAAGGGCAAGAAGCGGTCAAGCGAGCCTAAAGGCCGGAAGATCACACTGAAGATGGCTAAGCTGGCCCTGAAGCTGACCGTGGATGGCAAACGTTGGCTGGTCCTCAGCAACATGGAGATCTCCACCTTTCCCAAGTGCATCCTGAAGCTGTGCGATGTGGACGAGCTAGACCTGAGCCGCAACCTGCTCAAGAAGATCCCAGACTCCATCGACAAGTTCGTCAACCTCCGCTGGCTGGACCTCCACAGCAACCAGCTGGACCAGGTTCCGGAAGCTATCGGGCGCCTCCAGAATCTATACAGCCTCAACCTGTGTAACAACTGTCTGAGCACTGTAGGACTCCCCAACGAGATTGTTCTCCTGCGGAAGCTGAGGTGCCTCAATCTGGGCATGAACGTCCCAGAGACCATCCCGTCCTCAATCGCAGCCCTCAAGGAGCTACGCCACCTGGGCCTGTTCAGCAATCACCTGACCCAGGTGCCTGAGTGCCTCTGCAACCTGCCCCACCTGGAGACCGTCAACCTGAAGTGCAATCCCATGCCCTTGGAGGACGACAAAGGCATAGAACCCATCCAGAGGGTGGAGTGCCTGTACCTGGTGAGGGAGAGCTGCCTGTGTGCCTCCTGCCTCCAGAAGGTCAAAGACGACAGGCAGAGGATGGACAGCAGGTTGAGAAGAGGCCCCGCCCACAGGAAGTCCATCTTCGCCGGCCTGAACACGCCCAACTCGGTGGTGCAGGAGGACCAGGCCACCTGGAGGTGATGGAGGAACCTGGTCCTCAATGTCATCATCAATAGGTCATCAAGGACAGATTATTTAGGATAAGAACAGTCCAGGTGCTCTATTGCAATAGTTACTTATTACTTGACAATGTATTTTAGGCATATCAGGAATTCTGGAAGAAGACGCATTACAGGGGTTGCAGTCACACACCCGTAACCAGCCTTCTATAAGCTGCTCGGTGTGTGGTTTGTTGTACTCTAACGCCCTCTAGAGTTCGGAGTCTTGTAATGTTCTCCAACAAACATTGTACTGGAAATCTACCTTAGCTTTACTAATACTACTATCATTTACATATTTATTTGCATATCACATGTTTCTGATAATAAAATAAGCTTTCATTCTCATTGTTAGGATTATCTGTCTCCTCTATCCCAGTGTCAGCAATCACACTAGGACAAAGGGATCAGAGGGGTATTCTACGAAGCAGGTTTGACGATTTAGCTAGGTAACCTCTGAGTTCAACTCGGGATAACTGGTCATAAGAAAGTGGCTCACCTTTTAGCCAGGTAAATTTCGATGGCAACGAATCCTTCAGAACTGACCTAATCCGGGGCAGGCTAACTCAGGGCTAACTCCACTTACCCTGAATGAAATGACTGAGCCACAAGTTGAGGACCAATGAAATCAGATTCCCTCCCTCTCGCAAAGATTGCGTCATCATCCCCTTCATTTGAGGAAGACGACTGATTAAATATTTTATTAATCAAATGTTTGTTTTGTGTTAAAAATAATCATGTTAAAATATATCACATAACACATTTAGTAGTGACAGAATGTATTTTAAACTTCACGCAATGTAACACTTTATTTTGTAGGACTTAATAAATACAAATATTTATAGCAGTGGGGAAAACAGTGCTTGTGCATTGATAAGCACACCAAATCACTCCAAATACGGCATTAACAATAAGTAATCAAATAAAGATGGAACTTCTAAATGCTTATTTCACACCGTAGCCTGCTGAATTTGCAAGATAACTTTTCTTTCGTTTTGACTAAGGCACAAATGAAATTGTGGATGTTTCCGCATTATCTCAATGAAGAGTTCGGCGTTCGACTAGCCATTTGCAACAAGCACGTGTAGTTACAAGCCTGCTAGAGATAGTGGCAGGCAAACGAGCAATATCGACCGTCGTAGTACGGATGAAGCCTGAGCTGGAATGGGAAGCTAACGGAAGCTGGTTAGCTTTAGAAATGTTTTTCAGTGGCAGGGACTGGGAGACTAGTCAGGATCGAGGGAAAGATGAATGGAGCAAAGTACAGAGATCCTTGATGAAAACCTGCTCCAGAGTGCTCAGGACCTCAGACTGTGGCGAAGGTTCACCTTCCAACAGGACAACGACCCTAAGCACACAGCCAAGACAACGCAGGAGTGGGTTCGGGACAAGTCTCTGAATGTCCTTGAGTGGCCTAGCCAGAGCCCGGACTTGAACCCGATTGAACATGTCTGGAGAGACCTGAAAATAGCTATGTAGCATCCAACCTGACAGAGCTTGAGAGGATCCGCAGAGATGAATAGGAGAAAGCTTGTAGTGTCATACCCAAGAAGACTAGAAGGCTGTAATCGCTGCCAAAGGTGCTTCAACAAAGTACTAAGTAAAGGGTCTGAATACTTATGTAAATGTAATATTTCAGTTTTTATTTTTAATAAATGTGCTAACTTTTCAAATAAAAACTGTTTTTCCTTTGTCATTATGGGGTATTGTGGGTAGATTGATGAGAAAAAATGTTTGCATCCATTTTAGAATAAGGCTGTAACGTAACAAAATGTGGAAAAGCGGAAGGGGTCTGAATACTTTCCGAATGCACTGTATATTACATGATTGACACAACCATAATAATCATCATGAAACGGCCTTGGAAGTGCCATAATTATTTTACATTAACCTGTTGTTTTTTTGCAGGTGTTGTTTCCCCACATTTATTGATGAATGAATTTCCCATAATGAAAATGTATCCCCATTCCCATTCAAATACCTTCATTGATACCACAAAAAAAAACAGACAATACAGCTTTTTACTCCAATCTGGCAACCCTCATAAAATCTGACATAGCACCAGTATCCCAAAGTATTAAGCGAAAACAAGCTTAGAAATCAGCACTTGTATTTGTAAAAAAAACATAAGGCTACTATTATATTATAAGTATTTCGGTGACAACCTGGTTGATTAACAATGTTGGGTTGTTAACATGTTCGTTTTTAAATATATAAATACATGTGGGACACAAAAAAACGCAGTGTAGGACACCATTGCCCAAAATGCCTTGTGCCAATAACTTTCAAAAGATTGTTCCGAAGTTTGCCCCCAACAAATATATTTTTCTACGAATGAAGTCGCACAAAAATGTGTGTATTTTCACACGGATTAAGCCACACAAAAACGCACAAAAATGCATGAAATCTGCTGAAATACTTTTTGTACATATTTGCACGAATTTAGTGTGAGATTGTGTTGCCAACAATACACAGTATTTTCCAAACCACTACCTGGGGCTGATGCTGACCAGAAAAGTGCTGAATCAACAAGAAGATGAAGATGCTAAATCAATAGATTCATTAGGAAGCCAACAGAAACAACACAGTATTGACCTGACCATTATAAGTTCCGTTCACTATCCATGTTATGAGACGGTATCGTTATAATTTTGAGTCTCTTAATCAAAGCATGGGGCTCCACTGATCAATCCCTTATCAATCCTCCTATCTGTGTTATGTCTAAAATAGCTTCCCCATGCAGCATCGTCACAGGTGACCAGTCTGATATGCTTTACTTTACACACTGCTCACCACTGTGTCAGTGCTATAGGAAATCAATGCACCAGTACACACACACACTCCTCAGTCAGGCAGGCAGAATACAGTGGTGCAGAGGTTGTAGCAGCCCTAAAAGCACTCTCTAGAGGCTATACTCTTGGGGGCATACACCCCATCACAACCATTAGCAGATGGATAATTGCCAGTGACAGGGTAATGGGGGTTCAGGCATGGTGCCGGGGAGAACGGGGGCTGCAGGGGCACATAGGAATTAACTTTGTCTTTACAGACATCACAGGTTTTAACTAATAAGCCCCAATTGGACATTTCACAGGTCAATTATGACTGTAGAATGCACTCAGTGTGGTTCGAGCCACCTCCCAGACCTTTGGAATCAAATTATTACTATGTAGGCTATACAGACAGTGTTGGGAAAAAGCACCCAATTGTCATACTTGAGTAAAAGTAAAAGACACCTTAATAGAAAATGACTCAAGTAAAAGTGAAATTCACCCAGTAAAATACTACTTCAGTAAAAGTCTAAAAGTATTTGGTTTTAAATATACTTAAGTATCAAAAGTAAATGTAATTGCTCAAATATACTTAAGTATCAAAAGTAAAATATAGTATAAATCCTTTCAAATTCCTTTGTCATGAATCCCGCTTCCTGAGTCTGTTTCTGCCTGTGTTGCCTGTTTCCTGAACGCACCCTGTCTGGTTGCCAGGCGACGAAGCTAGGCGGGAGATCTCTCTATTACCCGCACCTGCATCTCATCAGCTATCTGCACACCTGGTCCTGATCATCACCTCTCCACTTCATAAGCTCTGACCTGACATCCATTCCCTGCCGGATCGTTAGCCATGAACAGTATGTTGTGTCAGTGTATCAGCCTCAAGTTTACTAGAGTTTGTTTTGTTGTTCTGTACTTTTTGCTTGCCGTGTACTCACCTCCGTTTACTCTGTCTACAGTCATTCTCCCGGAACATTCACCCCACCCCTGCCTGGTCGTTGGTGGCTTCTGTGACACCATTGGATCTGCCTATTCACTCCCACCAACTCTCCTCCGCTGCCCGCTCCGTCTCCTGGATTATTCTGTTTCCACATTTGAGTCAGTAAATGAATACTCACCTTCGTTCTACTCACCTTGTCCTGGTCTGCTTCTGGGTTCTGCTTTAGAGAATTGTGACATCCTTATATTAAGCAAACCAGACGGCACCATTTTCATGTTATTTTAATGTATGGATAGCCAGTGGCACACTCCAACACGCTAACATAATTTACAAATGAAGGATGTGTGTTTAGTGAGTCCGCCAGATCAGAGGCAGTAGGATGACTAGGGACGTTCTCTTGATAAGTGAGTGAGTTGGACCATTTTCTGTCCTGCTAAGCATTCAAAATGTAATGAGTACTTTTGGGTGTCAGGGAAAATGTATGGAGTAAAAAGTACATTATTTTCTTTAGGAATGTAGTAAAGTAAAAGTTGTCAAAAATATAAATAGTAATGTAAAGTACAGATACTCAGAAAAAACTACTTAAGTAGTACTTTCAAGTATTGTTACTTAAGTACTTTACACCACTGTATACAGATGTGTATTGTGGTATAATTTAATATATAGTATTACATATTTAGAAGAAAATAAAAGGATGAATGGCACTGGCTTGAAGAAGAGGCCAAAACAGTGGTTATAGGTTTTAATTTCTGTATTCAATGGCATCATTCATTTACAGCAGGGATGGGCAACTGGCAGCCCGTGGGTTGGCCCCCCTTTTGTAGGCCCGTAGATCAATTTCCAAAAGCGGGGACCCCAAAAAAAAATCAGCGGCAAACATTTGGCAACAATAATATTTATTGGCAAACAGTTCACCAGAGGGTTTTTTTCTGGCAAACAATTCTCTCAAGATTCTATTTGAATCTGTGACAAACCTGTAGCAACACTATTTATTGCCACTAGTGGCAAACAGTTGAGTTCCAAGACCAGTAACCATTGACAACCAATCAGGGGGAGAATAACATTTTGTTGGAAAATGGAAACCAAGCTAGCTAACTAGCTACCTACCAAAGTTGTCCAGTGAGTGTCTAACTTATTAATTAAATGCTCAAATAGACTTTAAAAATGGATGTCTGGTTGGCAATGTCATGTTTTATGGGATAGTGTTAAACACATTTTGTTGGTATCAGTTTCAATCTGTCAGCGCCACTGACTGGCTAGCTAGCTAGTGGC